GGGAGGGCAAAACTCTGACGGGAGAGGTCCCCGGGGAGGGGGGCGATGGGCAAGCAGAGCGGTGAAGGTAGGCGATAGGCGAGGGGCGGGTGCGTTGGGATGTGTTTTACCCCACTGCCAGGTTTCCATGCGTGGCCGTGGTCCAAAAACGGGTGGTTTTGGCTATGTGTGGGGCGTGTACGGTCCAGGCAGCGCTGCTGGTTCTGGGGCGGCTTCATCCCGGTGTCGGGAGTCGTGGGAAGACGCGAGCATCACATCATCCTTAAAAAAAACCCTATATGGCCTCAAAACTACGGAGAAAAGGCTGAAGGTCTTATCCAAAGGTCTTGAAAGCAGAAGGCAAATTATAGGGGACTGAGGATTAAAACCCGAAGCGCGGATGTTTTTGGAATTTCTAACGATACGCCTTTGTATCATTTGAATTAATCTGTAAAAATAGGTTTTTAATGCTGTTTCTTTCTTTAGCAAAAGTTGTGGCATTAAATAGCTTCAACCACGTTCTTTCTCCCTGAAATGCAGCGGTGTTGAAGTTGAGAATAGGACATGGGGTTTTTTTTTCTAGAGGAGCAAGTGCAAACGTCGTATTCAGCTACTTATTAAAGCACTTTTCCTTAATGCAATTTAATACTGAAGGTCAACGGTAAACGTTTCAGCGGTTGCGAATGATGCTGAAAAGCAGATTGCTGTTTTTCGCAGGAGCCTTGGCATTGAAAAATTTTAAGGAAATCCCCAAATTTTGTGCTGACTGGAAACTGGTTGGCGGGCAGCTGGTCTAACCGCTCCGCCCGGCGTGAAGCGGGGACTTAAATGTACTTTTTATGCCGCAAAACCCCGTCTGTGTGCTACTAGAGAGAGGTATTTGTGGTCCTCGATGCTGCGGTGATGAGGGCGGTAGATGTGGCTATAAATAAAAAGAGGCCGGTGAATGTCAGAGATGGTCTTCTGGGGGGGGCTGCAGATTTGAGTATTTAAATATATCCAGGGTGACCCGACCTGCTGGTCCCTCGGGGGCTTTTATTGCTGCAGGAGCGTTTAGGGATCCGGCTCTTAATACCTGCTAAGATAAATAGCATTTTGTCTTAGCACAGTGATTTAACTCCAGCACCAGGAGGTGACCGGGTGATGGCGTGGCTGTTTAGGGAAACTGAGGCACACGGGGGGTATGCGGGTGGAAGGGGAGTGGGGCCGCTCTCGGGCTCCATCTCCTATAGTGGGATTTTTGGTGGCTTCTCCGGGAGAGGCTGCCCCGGTCCCGCGAGCATCAGCATCTGCTTCGGCCGCCCTCTCTATATCGCTCGTATCTCTTCCTCGCATCCCCTGCCGTCGGGGCTCAGCTGACCCGCATCCCTCGGTCCTCCCTCACCCCGAGCATCCTCCCCGTCCTCCGGCCGCCCTCCCGTCGGCTGTTTCGGGATGGAGCTTTGGTGGCGCTGCTTGAAAATGCTCTTAAAATAGAGCCGGAGGGCAGCGTCAGGGCGGGGAGGGCTGTCTGGAGGCGCCGCCGTCCCCTCGGGGTGGGGACTTTGCGGCCACGCTGCTTTCGAATAATTTTTACGGGTTTTTCCTCCCTGCCGACGACGCCAGGGCCCTGCCCGGAGGTCGGCGGTGCATGGAGGGGGCTGGCAGTTTTGGGGTTCGCTCCGGTTTGATGCACCCAGCAAGCACCTCAAGTCCAGGCTCGGGATGGGGATGGGATGGGTGAACTGCTCCCGCGGTGCCGTGTTGGGCTGCTCGTGGGACTAAACCGACCCCGAGGGCCAAGGTGGTGATGGTGGAAAAGAGCAAAACTGATTTTTATTTAAAATAATAAAAGTATTTTTAAAAATATGTATTTTTAAAAAAAAAACCCACAATATTTGTGTTTTCCTAGGGGAAGGGGTAATGGGTTTTACTCTCCCATTAACCCCGATTAATCTGGCTTCTCCGCTCCGATGGGGTTGCAGGGACAGGAGCTGCCGGAGGGGTATTTTGAGGCAAGTTGGGGTCTTTCTTGGGATCTCACCCCGGCGGGCGCCTCTCATCTTGGCTGGGGCTCCGGCTCTGGGCGAGCTCACGAAAAGCATCTGATAGCAATAAAGAGCAAAAACCTCCCGCTGACAAGCCCGGGCTGAAGTCACCGACGGGATGCGGCCAAGACACGCATTGTCCTCGCCGCTGCTGGGACTGATTAGAGCCGCCTGGCAAGCCCCGGCGCTGGGTGAGGGGTCAGCCCCTTTTGCCAAAAAGCCTCGATCTGGAGCAAAAAAAAAAACCCAACAAACCCCAGCTTTTGTTTTCCAGGCTGGGCTGTGTGGAGGCGATGCCGCCCGGCGGACCCAATTCCCCCTGTTTCGCACCCATTTCTCCACGGCTGTGGCCGTGCCGAGCTTGGGGCAATCCTGTATGGGGAGCGAGGTGAGATGGATCCCCGGAGGAAAAACCTGAATTCAAGTTTTTTTCATAGCACAAGCAAAGCAGGAGAGTCCCTGGCAAACAGCAAACCGCTCTGCTGAAAGCTCGCTGTCTCTTCGGCGTTCGATATTTATTATATCATTATTTATTTTGTATGCGCTTGGGGGGGGGCTGAGCCATCCAAGTTCCTCTCGTCGAAATGTCCTTGGTGGAAGTGCGGAGGCTGAGAAAGGGGGGGGGGGGTGGATGGATGTTCCAGCTGGGATGCAGCATTTTATAACAAATATATGTATAGAGTATTTATATATTTATAAAGAGTTTAAATATATATAAAAATATATATAAACCCCCCTCTTTGCCCTACGCCAGGCTGCAGAGCCAAGAGCTTGGAGAAGAGCTGTTTTTTCCCCTGTTTTCCCCGGGTGCGAGCGTTTGCTGGGCCTTTCTGGGGCCATCGGGACCATGCGAAGCTGACGACCCCGTTGGTTGGGCGGGTTGGTTGCGGAGCAGAAATTCAGTGAAAATGAAAAATTTTGGCAGGGAGGGGGAAGGGGTTTTTTTGCTTGTTGAGAAAACAGAGAAGAAAATACCCTTTTTTAAATTATTTAAACATTTTTGTCTGTTACTACTTTCGCCTTTGGCTCACAAAAAAAAAAAATAAAAAAAAAGACAAACAAAACGTGTCTTGCTGGAATTCGTGTGTTGATCAAGAGCTGCCATTTGTCCCAGAAAAAATGGGAGCTGAAAAACTCTTTTTGGAGCAGGAGGTGCAGGATAAACCCAGCAGGTTGAACCCTCCATCTCCACCGCTGTTCTGCACCACGTCCTTGGTCACATCCCGCAAGGGTGGGGAAGGAGGGCGTTGACGTGGCCAGATCCGTCTCCATCCATGAATTGGGTGTTCAGCACGGAAGGCCAAAGGGAAGCAGAGGGAAAGGGGATATCCCACCTGCTTTTAATATAGGGCGTGGGATTTAGGGCGTGGGATATCCCGTGCATTTGGGATGCAGCTGGCAAACCCATCCTGGGGCTCAGGTATCCCCAGGAGAGGTGATGAACGTCCAGGGGTGGTCTGCACCATGCGAAATACATGTGAGCTGAATTAAATACCCAGCAAACGCAGCCTGGGGAGTGCTGGCAGTCGCAGCACTTCCCAGCCTGGGGATGCTGCTCCCTGATTTGCATTTTTCCATGTAGTGCCTTTCCCCAGGTGATTTAAAATGGGCATTAAAAAAGCGCATAATTCATTCCGGTGAATCCAGCTAGCGAGTTAGCTGCTAACGTGAGTCAGAGCACACGGCGTAATTCGGCAAAAATTAGAGGATATTGTGTTTTATGTAATTATCTTGTAGAAGCAGGGAGGTTTAAAATCCTGATTTCCTTCTATTTAGGGGGTTAATCTCAGCTGGTGCCTAAAGTTGGCTTCCTGCGTGGGGCAAATGTCCCCCCGGGGTCTCCATCTGGTTCAGGAGGTCAAGGCATCCCCTCTCCTGCGTGACATCTCCGCACGAGTGTGGACAGCTGAGCCAGGCTTTGGATCTCCTTGGTGGTGGGATAGCCATGGTATCTCCTACCCAGGCTGAAGGGATGTCAGTGGGTGCTCATATGGCCTTGGCCTGTCCTTTCATTGGGCTTTCTCCTCCTTGGTTGAGTCTCCTGTACTCAAGTTGGTGGTGGAGCTTCTTGGTTGGTATCTCCAAGCTGGCCCTGGTGGTGGAGCTTCTTGGTGTTTCGAAGCTGGGTCTGGTGGTGGAGCTTTTTGGTTGGCATCTCCAAGCTGGGGCTGGTGGTGGAGCGTCTCAGTTGGCTTCTCTGACTTGAGATGCACGGACAGGGGTGGGTGGCATGGCCGGGCGGGTATTTTCCTGGGGAAAGAGCCCTCCTGAATGGTTCTGTTTCCTTCCTCCCCACAGCTGATAGTCGAAAAAACGACTGACTACCCTTCGGCTGAGTACTCCCTGGTGGAGGATGTAGCCCTCCACTTCACGTGTTTGATGGACAGACTGAACGAGCAGCGCCTCTTTCAGCCGGACCTGTGCGACGTGGACATCGTGCTGGTGCAGCACAAGAGCATCTTCCCAGCGCACAAGGGGGTCCTGGCGGCCTACAGCCAGTTCTTCCACTCCCTCTTCACCCAAAATAAGCAGCTGCAGCGCGTGGAGCTCTCGCTGGAGGCCCTCACCTCGCAGGGCCTCCAGCAGATCCTCAACTTCATCTACACCTCCAAGCTCCTCGTCAACTCCTGTAACGTGCAGGATGTGCTGAACGCGGCTGCTGTGCTGCAGATGAACAACATTGCCTCCTCCTGCCAGGACCTCCTTGACACCCGCTCGCTCAGCCTGGCCGCCGGCATGGCCCTGCCCGCTGAGGGCTGCGCCGGACCCCCGCCCTACTACTGCGAGATCAAGCAGGAGGTGGATGCCCCTCATCCCAAGATCTACGCCCGGGAGGGCAACGACCCCTACTCGGTGCGGGTGGAGGATGGAGCAGGTGGTGGGACGCTCCCCCCTGGTCCAGCCAAGCAGTACTACAAGGAGGAGAAGGATGGTGGTCCGGGCACCGTCTGTAAGATGGAAGGCGAAGAGTCCGAGGAGGACCTGGACAGCCAGGGCTCATACAACCGGGAGCAGATCATTGTGGAGGTGAACCTCAACAACCAGACCCTCAATGTCTCCAAGGGCATGGAGGGGAAGGCAGCCGCCAGCGAGGCGGCCGTGATGGGGCGGCCTGACGGTGATGGGCGCGACACAGAGGAGGATGGGGAGGAGGAGAATGAGGAAGGGGAGGAGGAGGAGGAAGAGGAGGAGGATGCAGGTGGGTGAGGAGGAGGAGGAGGAGCACAGCGAGGAGGAAGACCTGGAGGAGACGACGGAAGAAGAAGACGATGATGACGACGATGAAGACGCGTCAGAGGTGAAAAGGGAAAAGGGCGGGCAGCCCCGCAGAGGCAGCCGGGCGTCCAAAGCCACCAAACCTGCCATGGCAACCCGGTCCCAGGAGATAGCCAAGGTGGAAGAGGAGGAGGAGGAGGAGGAAGAGGAAGGCCAGCGAGGGAGGAAGAGGAAAAAGGAGCAGGATGGTTTGGGCCAGAAGGTGAAGCTGGAGGAGAAGCAGCACTACCCGTGCAAGAAGTGCCCCCGGGTCTTCAACAACCGCTGGTACCTGGAGAAGCACATGAACGTCACGCACAGCCGCATGCAGATCTGCGACAAGTGCGGCAAACGCTTCCTGCTGGAGAGCGAGCTGCTGCTGCACCACCAGACCGACTGCGAGAAGAACATCCAGGTGAGCCAGCCCTGGGGGTGGACATCCCACCAAGGGGGGAACGTCCCACCAAGGGGTAGGGCATCCCACTGGGGATGGACATCCCACCAAAGGAGGAGCATCCCACCATGACGGGACATCCCAGTGGGGGAGGACATCCCACCCACCAGGGAGGACATCCCACCCAGCTACACCATGGGGTAGGCTCATGCTCAAATGGTATTTTTGATGATGTGGGTGGCACATGGCAGACGGGAGGGAACCTTGCTTCACCCGTGACTCGTATTCAGGATCAGGAGGGTCTGACGGTGGCATGGGACTGGAGGATTTGTGCCGGGGGACTGTGGCTTCCCCTTGGCCGGCCGGGTGGAATCGTGGAGTAATTTTTGAGGAGTAATTTTTCTTTGAGTTTATTCAGTTAATCCGGCTAAAACATTGCGAGCCCCTGATGGAGACACACTCCAGCTGTTCCCACCTAGGCTGAAACCAATTTAGCTTAATTCAAAGATTTGCTGACACGAGTTAAAATGGTTTTAATCTGCCTTTTGTGCTCTTTAGCTTGCGTATTAGCAAATTTCCGAGCACATTTGACATCCATGCATGGCTCAGGCTCAATGTGTCCTTCGCCTAATGCTAACGAGATCCTCATCTGTGCTTGCAAATCGACTCCAGTAGATCAGTGCAGTTTTGGGGGATAGGTAGGCAGCCCCCTGGAGCAGCAAACGTGTGTTCCTGCAGACCCCTCCAAACCCATCTCCTAATCCCCAACGAGCTGTTTTGCACGACGCTGCCACTACTAATTAAAAAAACAACAACTTCTGGAGAGCTGCGCCCATCATCCTTCCCACCACGACAGGATTTTAAATGATCTCGCAGCTCTCCTGGATGGAGGTAACACAACCCAAGTGCTACTGGAGCCCTTCGCCGACGGCACCCCAAATAAAACGAGCGATGAAGCAGATCTCAGCGTTAGGGCATGCAGGGAATACGGAGGCAGGAGCGGTCCCGGCTCCAGCGGGTGAAGGAGCCGCTGCCTGCACTGGCGGTGGCTGTTTTGGAGCCTATCGTAAAGCCTGTGCAATTAATAATATATTTTCAGGCTCATCTGCTTTCCTGATGGTTAACGTGGGGCTGTCACGTCATTGCTTTCCCCCCCACCCCCTTTTATCCCTTTTCCAGGTCATTTCTGAATAGGATGAACCGCAACTGCCTGTGCGGTGACCTCCCTCCACGGAAAACGTGGATAATTAGCTCTCACTTAGTTGAGCATTTTTAATTTTACAAATAGCCAAACTCACTCCATTTGCTCTGATAATATTGAATAACTTTTATCAATATACCATGGAATTATAGCTGGATGGAAAAGGGATTTTTTTCAACTCTATACCTATAATGGACAGTCTTTATTACTTGTTTTATAACCAGATCCATGGAGGGACCATCCCTCTTACCCCATTCAGGTCTGCTGCTTTCTTTTGCTGCTTTGTCCCCAGATTTCATCCATGATGCTTTAGGTCTTAGGCTTCACCTCCCTCCCTGTGATCGTTTCTCATGACCGTCCGTGGCCCCGCGGACTCCGTAGCAGGCATCCTGCCTCCGCCGCCTGAAAAACGATTCATCCTTTGCTTTACCAGGTTGTTTCTCAAACTCTTTTTTTGGCCAGCTTCAGTATGGTTTTCCTCTTAGCCTGCAAGAATTTATCTTTCTCATTTTTTTCCCTCGTTTGGACGTTACTTCCACATTTTTGAGTGATGCTTTTTTGCAGTAACTGAGGACACAGGGCTGAGCCCTCCAGGGTGCTTGGTCCCAGCCCGGGGGCTTTCCTACATCTGCTGCTTTCCCTCTACCTTTAATTTTAAAGTTCCCTTGCAGCCTCTTTCATTTTAAGTGGAGAAAATGGATGTTGATGTGTCTTTGATAACAAGCAGAAATAAAACTGTTCTGATCCGTGGAAGTATTTACTTAGGAACAGTGAAACTCAGAGGACTACTCATGTTGATATTCAGGCATGGCAAGATGAAGACGACGAGTGTTGGGAATGCCTCTCTGACCCTAATTTTGCCTCCCAGGCACCTAAATATAAATATATATAGCAAGATACTGTGACCATGGCATAATGGTATATTTTCCACAGTATCACAGCCTCATTCGGTGCAAAATTTGGTTGAAGCCCATCAACAAGCATCTGTCTGTTCCTCTGGGTAGGAGAAGCTGGAGGCTGTGCTGCCTGCCGTGCTTCAAGCCCTGCTGGGAAATGCCCCCTGGGCTTACTGGTACCGCTCAGCGGTGCTGTTGCTAGATGCCTCCAAGGCATGAATTATTTTCTCAGTGCACCTGCGAGGAGAAGGGATGGTTTTATCCCTGTTGGCCAAGAGGAAGATGAGTCGTGGAGAGGTGAAGGGGAAGGAGTGTCCCTTGGCTCCTGGCAGGGTCCTCAGCTGGGTGCTGCCAACTGTACCCATGCTGCAGCAATGGTTTCCCGTGCGGACCTCGCTCTCCCGTCCTTCCCCAAGCCCTGAACTGATCTCACGCTGAAGTTGGAGCTTTACCTGGGAACTTTCCAAGAAATATTGAACTTGGAGCTGAAACAAATCTTTACCGTAACTTCTCAGGGGAGACTTCGCATGTCACATTGTTCTGCTTGTGCTGATGGACTGTTTTTTGGGTCCGTTTTGGTCCCTTTGGATATGTTTGGAAAACTCATTTAGTGGTGAAGTATCCATAATATCTGCTGAAGACAGAAGTTGCACTGCCCTGGCTTGGGCTTCTCCTGGTTCCTATATTCTTTGCAGCCTTCTAATGCACAGAGGGTTGGGGTTTTTTTTATGTAACGGCTTCATTGCGTGCTAGAATAAAATCCCCAGCTGGGAATAGGGCCTTGGTGCGTGAGCTGCTGTTTATGCAAGTCCTAATACATCTGTCAATGGAGATGCCACGTCCTTCCCTGGAAAGTCATTGTCCCTTCCTCATCCAGTGGCTAGAAATTTGAGTTTTGGAGGTTTTGAAGAGACAAGGTCTGTAGCAGACTTGCTGGTCGTTACGATTTTTGATATCTTAGCTGTAGGTTTCATAGTGATGTTCCCCTTCAATGGGTCAAACTGATAGCCTGGTAAAATGAAAATGCTGGTGGTGCCTGGGCACGTTCTCCTGCTTCCTTACCCATCCTCTCTCTTCTTGCAGTGCGTGACGTGCGGGAAGGGGTTCAAGAAGCTCTGGTCCCTCCACGAGCACAACAAGATTGTCCATGGCTATGCCGAGAAGAAGTTCTCCTGCGAGATCTGCGAGAAGAAGTTCTACACCATGGCCCACGTGCGCAAACACATGGTTGGTGAGTGCGGGAGGCGCTGGTGCCACGGGGAGATCTTGTTAGGGGTGTTCATCCATCATTTTGGCAAAGAAGGGTGTTTTTTTGTCACTGTCGTGTTGGGAGTTTAGGGCTGGGCTTATTGTGTGAGCTTTCTCACGTCAACGCAGGGGCCTTGAAATTTGGCCCAGTATTTAATGCTGAACGTATGTCTGCTCAGTGCTGTGTTTGGAGCAATCAGGCATGGTGCTGGGGAAGCTCATTTATTTTATTTAACCAGAAAAAAAGACTTCAGAAGTGATCAAAGGGGGTTTTGAAGTGTAACCATCCTTCCCTTGTAAAAGAGGACCAGACCGCACCAGCACTGGGCTTTGAAAAGCAAATTGCAGATGGCAGCGGCGGTTGAGTTCCCGGGAGTTGCAGGCACCAGAGAGATCCATAAAAAGGGGGTTTTGGCAGGCAATTAGGGAAGTACCTGATATGTTGCTGCTGCGCATCTTCCCAAGATGGCTTTGTGTTTGCTGGGGTTGGGCACCAGCGCTGGAAGCAGCAGACGGGACCTGGGGAGATGGATGCTCGGGGTGCGGGGAGGGCGCCTGACCCTGCTCTTCTCCGCTTCAGCTCACACCAAGGACATGCCGTTCACCTGCGAGACCTGTGGGAAGTCCTTCAAGCGCAGCATGTCCCTCAAGGTCCATTCGCTCCAGCACTCTGGGGAAAAGCCTTTTAAATGCGAGGTAAGGTCCTGTGTGTCCCCCCACACCGCGTCCTCTCAAATGGGCACAAAAACACAGATCTGGGGGAAGATCTTCCACTTCTTGGGGCTTCCCCTATGCTTTTTGCCAGCGCAGCTGTAGGGATGCTCCCTCCTCTCCCAAACTTTGCATCCCCTCCTGGTTTGAGGGTCCCACCAACCCTATGAGGAAACTGGTGGCCAACGCCAGGATCTCTCTGTCCAGTGCCTGGACCTTGCGTCCCACCCCAAGCCCATCCAGCCTGCAAACCTGGCTGAGTATGTCCTGAAAAGTAATTTATTTGGGTTCTTTTTTTTT